CCGCCTTCACTTAGGGCGGGCACGATGCTTGCTGGGGGCCTTGGCCCAGAACATGTACACCACGGCAAGGCCCCTTTGAGGGCTCAATCCTCACACTCCATCCCCCTTAGCTTCGAAAGTCCGCTGAGATGCTTACTTCGCAGGTGCCTTCCCTTTTAACATTCTCTCATATTCTGCCACCACTTGAGGAGCTGTGTCAATCAGTTCCTCTCTGGTGAACCACCGATCTTCTTTTGGATCCATATGATGCCTGAATCAAACGCGATATTCTCTCTTGGGTTTGGGAGGTCTTCCTCGACCCAGCGGCTTTGGAACATGCAAGTCTCTGTGATCCACAATGTTGTCGATGTCCACTTGGCCATCCATGGTTGGGGACAGCATTGATCTCCTTGAAGGGAATTGGTGTGTCTCAGCAAAAGGTGCAAGATTTGAGGCATGAAAGATTGGGTGAGTGCGTAGGTGACCAGGGATGCGGATAACATAGGTGGGACCATCCATCTCATCCCCAACAATATCCAAGACTTCCTAGGGACCAAAATACTGAGGCATTAGTTTACGAGAGATTCCGAATTCCTATCCTAGCTCACTTGCCTTGACCCAGACACGTTCCCCTACCTGAAATGAGGACTGTCGACGATGTTTGTTCTCAGAAGCAATCATTGCTTGTTGAGCTTTCTTGATGTGCTCGACAGCTTGCCGCAGCAACTTCTCATACTGCACACCATACTCAAGTGTGCCTGGAGTTGCAGAGGGTCGATTTTCAGGTAGGAGGAAGTCCAAAGCTGATCTAGGCTTCCATCCCAAGTGCAACTGATTAGGACTAACGTCGGTACTGCTGTGTACAGCGTTGTTGTACAGGCTGGCGATGAGAGGCAACTTCTCATCCCAATCATCCGGATTGGGCTTGATGTAATGCCTCAGCAGGTGTTGTACAACTCTGTTCATTTGCTCGGCCTGTCCGTTGGCTTTGGGATGATTCCCTGAAGTCATCTGAAGTTGATTGCCCATCTGTTCAGCAGTCTTCTTCCACAGCTCACTTGTGAAGCGGACATCTCTGTCACTAACGATTGACTTCGGTAGTCCAAAATCACGCACCCATTTGTCCAGAAACAACTTGATGACGTGTTCAGTCCTTGCGGTCTCTGGCATGGCAATTAGTCTAGCGTACTTGGTGAATCTATCTATGATGATAAAGATGTGTCTCTTGCCACTCTTACTGGTCACCAGGGTGTCCATGAAGTCCATGGAAACACTCTGTCCCGGACCAGCGGGGATAGGTAAAGGCTTCAGCAACCCAAGCGGTGCTTGAGTTCGCGGCTTATCTCGCTGACAGACCTGACAGGTCTCAACATACTTCTTTGCATCTTCTAGCATTCCGGACCACCAAAATCGCTTTACTAGATTGGCACTCGCTTTTTTGTAGCCAAAGTGACCGGTTGCGTCATGACATTCTCCTAAGAATAAACTACGCAAACGTTCACTAGATGGAACAACTAACCTTTTAAATCCAGCCTTATCAAGAAAGAGAAGCCCGTCCACCATCACAAACTCATCTTCTGTGGCCTTGTCTTTTGCTTGAAGCTTGAGTATGATGTCCATCGTGACAGGGTCTTCCTGATAGGCTCCCACCAGCAACTGAGTTAGTTCCTCACAGAAACTAGCGCCCCTAGGTAATCTGCTCTACGGGACAGTGCATCTGCAACCTTGTTGTACTCTCCCTTCAGATACTCTAGCTTGAAGTCATACTGATCTATGACCTCAATCCAGCGCTTGAGTGCATCAGAAAGAGCCGGTTGAGTCTTGATCCATTTGAGGGTCTGATGGTCAGTTCTCAAGTAGAAAAACCGTCCCAACAGAAAGGGCCTCCAATGGACAAGTGCTTTGTAGAGAGCATAGAGTTCCCTTTCATAGTTGGACTTTGCCAGTTTCTTAGATGGCATCTTTTTGCTCATATACTCAATCGGTCTCAACTTTTTCCCATCCTGTTGAGCCAGCACTGCGCCAATGCGGTATTGGCTTGCGTCAGTGGTCACTATGAATGGCTTTTGAGGATCGGGAACCTGAAGAACTTCATGATTCATGAGCGCATGCTTCAATCGTTTGAAAGCATCCTCGCACTCATCACTCCAGTCCCACGGCGTGTCAAGTCGAGTTAGATTAGTCAAAGGAGAGGCGACTGTGGAATAGTTCTTCACGAAATTTCTATAGTAGCCGCACATTCCTAAAAAAGATCTGACCTCAGTAACAGTCTGAGGTCGTGGCCAGTCCCTTATACTAGCCACCTTCGCATCTTCCGGCCTAATACCTTCCGCGGATACTTCATGACCCAAGTATAAGATCTTAGTGCGTCCAAACTCACATTTCTCTAGGTTGACCTTATACTTGTGTTGTCGCAGAAGTGAAAGTACAGTCTCAACGTGTTGTGCATGCTCCTCGACAGACTTACTAAAGTTAAGAATATCGTCAAGATAGACAACGACAAACTTATCTAAGTGGTCATGGAAGATCCTATTCATGGTGTGCTGGAATGTACCCGACGCATTGCAAAGGCCAAAGGGCATCACTACAAACTCATACAGAACCATATCTGGTCTGAAAAGCAGTCTTGTGCTGATCCTCATGTCTTATTGCGATCTGATGGTAGCCGGATTTTAAGTCTATCTTGCTATAGTACTTACATCCCTGCACCCTATCCAGTAGGTCGTCTATGCGAGGTAGAGGCTCCGCGTTTTTCACTGTGATGGCATTGAGGCCTCTATAATCAATGCATATCCTCAATGCACCCCCCTTCTTCGGTACGAATAGCACTGGAGATCCGAAGGGGGAAGTACTCGGCCGGATCCATTCCTTTTCTGTTAGCTCTTTCAGTTGTCGCCGGAGTTCATCCAACTTGGCCGGAGCCATCCTATAGATCCTTCCCTTCGGGGTTTTACTCCCTGGAATGATTTCTATGGCATGGACAACCTCCCTCTCTACGACTCCTATAGGCTCCTCAAACAGATCAGGGAACTTAGCAACGACGTGTTCTATCTTTGGGGGTGTTTTAACGGCCGCCCCTTTCTCGGAGACATACACTAGGTACATACCCTCCTCTTGGTTCTGTTTATAGTAATAGAATGCTGATGCACACAAGCAGCCATAGGTATCGATTAAACTACTAGCTTTAAACTTAGTCAGCCTCACTGTTCTTCCATCAGGCAACTTATGCTTTAGCACTTTCTTCTCCCGGTCAAACTGGGGCTTGGCAACCTCAAGGTAGTACATCCCTAACAACATATCGAATGGTAAGTCGTCGCTAATCAGGAATGAAATCTTATGATTAAGTTCCCCTCCTCCATAGGAGAAGGTACAGACTACATCAAGTCTGTGATAACCATGCGCTCCTTATTGGCCAAAGTAGATGCTACCGGTCTACTAAGGTGTTGTACCCGGTCCTGTAGGTGCAGCCTTTCCAAGCCGTCACGACTTATGTAATTCCGAGTGGAGCCGATGTCTATGAAGGCACCCCATTTGCGTCCTCCTACATCAACTTCCACAACAAAATATTCCCCTCTAGGACCTCTTCTTAGTGCCACCCAAGATTCACGAGGGTCCTTACTTGACCACTCACTTTCCAAATCTTCTAAGGCTTCAGACACATCCAACGTACAGAGCATGGTTTGGTCTGGATGAATCTGCAGGGTGACTAAAGAGTAATTAGCTATGGCCTGCTCATGAAGTGGGGAGGGTATCTGGCCCACTTTACCATGAGTAGAAGCAGCTAAAACTTCCACCGGCATCACATGTTTCCCGAGCTAGATGCCTGGGAAGAAGGTACCCCTACCTTAGGCGGTATCTTCTGCGTGACCTTGGCGTTCTTGCACTTGTACTGGGTGTGACCATACTCACCACAGTTGATGCAAGCACCACGCACTCTTCGGTCCCGCCACACATCTTGATCAAGACCTGCCTTGACCCAATCAGCAACTTTGGTCTGATTGGAGGCGGCCTGCCCTTGACTCTTTTGATGGCCCTTCCCTCGGCGACCTGCCTTAGTCTTTACTACTGCGGCGAGGGTGCTACCCTCAGCGATCTCCTCACCGTCGTACTCTGAACTGTCCAACAGGTATGTGAGTTCCTCGATCTCAATTTGAGTTCCATCGGACTCAACCATCATCAATTTACTCCCCTTCTTCTTCCATTCCTGTGGACTCTTCTTCTTCCTCCCGTCTACTGGAGTAGTAGGTTGAGCACTTCCTAGAGTAGCCTCTAAATCTAGGGCCTTTCTAGAGAAGGACTCAAAAGTGTGATACTCGAGGTGTGCCCCGCTGGCCAACTGTGTTCTGAGATTCTCTGGGAGACATCTCACGAACATGGTCAATAAGACCTGGTCATCATAGCGAATGCCTGGGACTACGATGAGATTCTCCACGGTAGTCGTAAGCTCCCTAATGGACTTGTACCGTCGCTGGTGTAGTCTTATTATGGCGTCAGTGGCAATCTGTGCCTGCTGCGGATTATGCCAACGAGCTTCTGCCATGTCTATGAACTCATCTAACGTCATGGTCTTAGCCCAATCTGCCATGCGTCTTCCAAACCCAGCTTTCGCTATAATCCCGTCTAGCCATTTGGCTGCCTTACCCTCAAGATAAGATGCAGCAGTTTTCACTTCCTCCTCTTGCAAAGTCCTCTTTGCCCTTACCCACATTGGAACCGTTCTCAACCATGTGTTGAGTTCCTCGTCCTTCTTCTCACCAGAGAAGGCGACAGGTGGTTTCATTGGGGTCTTTGGGTACCATGGGCCTTGCTGCTGTCCCTGTGGTGGAACAGGTTGCTGTTGCGGTGGTGGAGTGGCTGCCACCGCAGGACCGGAAGAAGTAGAAGCAACAGTCTGAGGTGCTGCTGCTGACGAACCGCTTGGTTGTGTGCCAGCATGGGGGTAGGTGCCTATCATCGCGGACATAGGGAGCGGCGATCTTGCAACTGSTGGCAGCCTTGGTCCTAGCTGCTGCAACTGAGCCAATATCTGATCCAGAGTGTCCTGCATGAAGTCCATCCTACTGTCTACATGTGCATGCAACGGCAGCAAGCTAGACCTCAACACTCTTACATGGTCGTTCATTGTTGACTCATCCATTGCCTCTAGTGCAGTTTTGTCGGCCTCTACCGTTTCCAATCTGACTGTCCTATCTCTAATCTCCTTTTCTCTATCAGCAGCTTCCTTTAGTTCCCTCTCTAACCTAGTGCGAATCCTTTCAACTTGCTGGAGTTCCCTCAACTCCCGCTGGCGTGGGGTCATTGGGCTTAACTGCGAGCCCGCCATTTGACTGGTGGAGTGACTAGAACCTGCGACACTGGAATTACCCGCGGACCCAGTGGGCATGCCCAACTRAGTGGCAGACGAGGTGGCACCATTGGTTGCTGCCGCGAAAGCCATTGCTGCTGCCGCAGCTTGCCTTGCTGCTGCGTTAGCTGCTGCTAACTCTTGTGCAACAGTTGCTGTTGTCCTCACGCTCACTGCTCGAGCACGGGCTATAGCTTCAGCCCTAAGCCGTCTCTCTGTCTCGGTGTCCAGGTACTGAAACACGTATGGGATCCTACGTGATCTCGATCGTGTTACTCTACCATCGTCAACTCTACCCTCAGCGCTGTTTGATTCACTCATGAGCTATGCACTAGAACTTTCTAGTGAAGTCCTACCACAACATATGTTTGACCGGCACTTAATTTTCTAAAAATAGTTTGTGTCCGGCAGGAAACCAAATGCTACCATTTCACTGTACACATAATCTAATCCTACCATTGATTAGTTCACTTACAGCAGCTTGAGATAGAACTAGCTATGGTAGTATACAATGGTCCTACTCTAAGCTGTCTGTGAGGTGTTAGCAGTTTGGCCACCAACTAATCAAAGAATAAAATTAAATCATGTTGCAGATGTATGCATGTTGGAAATGGTTGTGTTTACAGTTGAGCACCAATTARAACCTACCCTCCCCTCAATCCAACATACCGAAGAGCAGCTTTGAGCAACAGTGTCTTCGTGTGTGATGTCGGCCCACCCCTGTGCCCCAAGTCATTGTCGAGCAAGCCAGCCCATCCACTCTTATTTACCCTCATACGGAACGAGCCTTACTACCCGGATTGATCTGGCTGATCAGGAGGGATTTAAGGAGAGCCCCCATCTCCTAAGGAATTATTTAACGTCGCAGACAGGACGACGATCACAGCCAGTATCAACCGAGTCCCCAACCAGAAGTATTTATAGACGGTCTGGTAAGCGTCTCTTATGGGCTAGCACACCCGACACGACTTCTATAGCGCAGCAAAGTGCCAAAATGGACAAGCAGCCATCGCATGCGTGAACTACTCCCATTGGGTTGGCATGGTGACCGTGACCCAAGTGCTTCGACCAGGGCCCTTCAGAGGCACCGCCCTTTCTCCTTCCAGATGCTTCCAGGAAGATTGTCGTCTCTCAAGGTAGCGCGCGCACGACACCTCACCAAAAGAGAGGACTCTCAAGTTGGACTCACTTCCTCGCGATAAGAAGAGATTGAGAGAGTAGATAAGGTAAGGGAACATCGTACCTGGAGATAGTTGCCCCCCAACCACAGATTTCTCACCAATTGAGCTGAGTGTGCATTTGATGACCCGTCGTAGCCTCGGTACCACCCACAACGCAATGCAGTGCCACCTCAGCTTAATGCCACATCAGCATGCTCTCATCACCAATCATACATTCCGCTGTAACCACGACAACCCATGCCGTATAGTCTTCCGGCGCACACCTCTCTACCCAGGTCATGCGCCTATTGTTGGCCTGACGTCAGAAGAACCAACTGCGAAGAAGTATCATCAACGAACCAAGTTTGTACAACGCCAGCGCACCAAGGTAAGTGGCGAATCGAACCAGCTCCGATACCAAAATGCAAGGAACATGAATATGGACGAAGCACATAAATCCAAATTGCAAAATCACACTGAAGTCCAAGTAGTCAAAGCAAGAGCGGATAGCACAATGGAACCGAGTAACCATCCATTTGAGAACGATACAGAAGAATCGTGATTCAATGTCCAAGCCCAATCGGGCAGCACCAACAGCATAACCCAATGTAGCTCTCTCTCTTGAATGGCGCCAGGCGCCCTACCTACTCTACAGCCTATCACTACAACTACAGCATGGAAGCAACCAGACAACTTGACGACCAGTGAGTGATGATGTCAACACCAATGCCGACCTCCTCTCCACCAGGTACGTCTTTCTCTTCACCCTCACTCTCCCTTGTTATCCCACACAGAGCCCTTCACCTCCGAAGAACCACCTTCGCCCTTCACCTCCTCTGCGCCCACAGGCAGCCCGGCTATGGCCGCCAGCGCCCTGCGCCCAGGCTGCG